TTTCATTCTATGGCACTCAAGAAACAGACCCGTGAGTCCCTTCCGACAGCACTCAGGGCTGCAATGCATTTTAAAGCACATAGCTCTATTATTAGTAGACCGGGACTGCTTTGTCCTTGGGGTTTTTTAACCCAGATATAAACTGGTCTTTTCTGCCAAAATTTAGGGGATAGTAACAGTAATCGCAATTTTAACAAGAGTTTTTGTTACAAACTTAAATTATCTTCTTTTAATTCTCTATCTGGCCATGTTAAGCATTACAAAATAGTCAATCACTACCTAAGCCTTCCTTTAACGTGGATGTGTTTGATGTACCTCTTAGGAGGATAAGAATTGCCATAGCAGATCAGACCAGGGCTCTTCACGTCCAACACTGTCCCCGCCAGTACCCAGCACCAGCTGCTTCAGGAGAAGGAATGGAGAAGAACCCCCAAAGCAACAGAACCTGTCAGTAGGGCAGATTCTTGCTAACTCCTGTCCCTAAAGTTCAGGTTATGCAATGGAGCAAAAGTATTATTTACAGCATCTGGATTGCACCCCACTGTGTGTGCAGAGGATGGGTTTGCTGGCCAGGTGAGTGCTTTTAGAAGAGCATTTTGTAACTCATTTGAAATAGCAGTTTTCCTGAGCTGTACAGGTTTACAGGGTGTTTCTCTGAACTTATTCACAGATGGAGTTTCTTGTGTTATTCAACGTCTTTCCAATTGTCTAGAGGCAACAAAAGAGTTTTGAGCTGCTTTAGACTCGTGAGGAACCCAAGGGACACCTAGTACTTCAAGAGGTTTGCCCAATTAAGACTGCTGCAAGAAGCAAATTCTGATCTAAGAATTAAAGACACACTAATGCCCCAAAACCTAATGAAAGAGAAAAAGCAGTTAACCGCTTCTCAAGCACTATACCTGCCTCTGCATCTCCCACTCCAACCTTCCCCCAGCAACTCTGGACATTTTAACCACTGCTCTTTAAAACATCTCTCCCTTGTAACTCATAAGAAGTTCCCTTAAAGAGAAAAGCCCATCCAAAGCCAAGCTCTGCACTTACTGCATTTCTGCGGTAAATGCCTCCCCTTTCCAAGAGCATGGATCTCCATGTTTCCTCCCTTAGGACCTGACTCCTGGCTTTAAGTGACAGAGGGGAGACTGAGATGAGCTCTTAGGCAGAAGCTCTTCCCTGTGAGGGTGCTGAGGCGCTGGCACCGGGTGCCCAGAGAAGCTGTGGCTGCCCCATCCCTGGCAGTGTTCAAGGCCAGGTTGGACACAGGGGCTTGGAGCAAGCTGCCCTAGTGATGAGCTTTAAGGTTCCTTTCAACCCAAACCAGTCTGGGATTCTATGGTCCAGCAGCAGGTTATGTTGGCCCATAGAGAGCAGCGCTGTGAGGCATGGAGTGTGAGCCATCAGCCTGCCACACTGCATCATGCTTTAAGGGGTTTACGGGTCAGAACCATTCACCTAAATCCAGCCATAAAGAGTTTAGGAAATCTTTGTTTCACATGGATTTCAGGTCAGCTTAACAATAAACACTTTAACGTAGCAAAGCAACTCTTCTATGCCATGATCAAGAGACTCAGTTTGGTATATGACAGCTAAAAGGGCTTGGAATAGGAATCTTAGTGAAGGTACTGGAAGTGCCCACAACCCCCAGAACATTTAGATTCGCTTTTCCATTTCACCCCCCCTTCTCCAAAGAAAGCACTGACATTCCCATCTCACTTGGTCCTGCAGAAACCAGTAAGCAAGCACAGGAGGCCAGGACTCCCATCTTCCTCTGCTGGGAGGCAAAGAGCTTTATTCTCCTGGACAGACAGGAGACTTGAGAAAGCCTGCTCAAAAGTATGGCTAGACCAGAGCTGGAGTCAGCGCCCTGTGCTGCTGCTTTAACTTCTTCATGTTTTCCCCTCCTTGATACAACAAGGGGCTGATAAACACTACGGGGCGGGTACAACTCAAAACCAGAAAGGTTACTGACACAAATAACCCCAGCTGCTTGTTATTCTAACGAGTTACTGGCTCTTTTCACATCACACCAACCCAGGAGCAGCTAACCGCGCAGAAGGCATGGCGAGCAGGCTGCCGGTACCACTAACCTGTGTCGATTTTTGTTCTTCCGCTTTTTGTGGCTGCTGTGGTGGCTCCCCGAAGAAGTAGAAGAAGCAGCTTTCTGGGGTTTCACCCCCTGCACGGACCCATCCAGCTCCTCAGCATCCTCCTGGTTGGGTTCGTTCTCCTGATTGTGAAAGTCTGGAGAAGTGTCGCTCTCCGTGCCGCTGCCCGGCTCCCCTAGAGCAGGACAAGCACAGGTGAGCACAAGTTACCTCCCTGCAGAGCACAGTGCACGGGCAGCAGAGCCTAAGCCTTACAGCATCAGGAGGTAAATAAGAGAACCTGAAACATCCCCTAAGGCCAGCAGCTACCTCCGCAGCAAGCGGCGCACGCCAGAAACGTACTTGGGTTGGTATCAATTACAACCCCATTTTTAAATGTCCTGAAGGTATGCGGCTCTCCACATGTCCCTCTGACTGACAACACACACCAAGGTGTTGCTTCAGCTCTTTCAGCCTCTTTCTCCAAAGAGCACCAACCCCACTGAAATGAGTTTAATGCACAATGAACTCTTGTTGAGCGTCAAAGTTCACTCGAGAAAGGAAACAACTTTAATTGTGCCTCACAGGGCGCTGGGTGGGAACACTCAGGATGGAGGCTGTACTCACACAGGGAGCAGTGAGTACAGCCCGGGTCCAGGCAGCTGGAGACAGAAGCATCATTCCTTCCAAATCCTGAGAGAAAGGAAAAAGCCACTTACGCTTCTCAATGAGCTGGTCCTGAACTCCAGCTAACGCACTGACCGCCTAGGAAAGCAGAAGGGGTGTTAATGGGAGCAGCAACTCACCACTTCTCAAATGTTCAAAAGCACAGAGATTACCTCACAAGGACACATCAGACTTTGGCCTGAGAGCTCACAACCCGGCACCAGCACAGGAGATGGGGGATAGGCGCAAAAAGATAAGGACACGATGGCAGTGCCAAGCGTGTGGTGCGGGTGGGTCCCTTCCACCTCTCTGGGTACTAAATGGGAAGAGGGCTCTGAAAGAGGCGGCTACACGGGATGAAGATGCTCGGGCTGGGGGAGAGGAGCTTAAACGGAGAAGTGGTCCTGCAGCAGCCTCTGGGACCAGAGCACCGAGGAGCACCAAGGGATGAAGATGGGGATGGGGAGCGGGTTGTGTGCTCAGCCCGCCGGGGTCCGGCCCGGCTCTCACCGCTGCCGAGGTGACCGAGGACTTGCTGAAGAGCCGCTCCGCCTCCTTGAACTTGCGGTTCCTCCGGTCGTTCTTGCTGTTGGAGTTCCTGAAAGGGGGCAGAACGGGCATGGAGGGAGCACGGAGGGGGCCCGGCTCTGCCTCCCTCCCTCCGTCCCTCCGTCCCTCACTCACTTCTGGTTGGTGAGGTAGCGGTCCCAGCCGCGGATGATGTTCCCGTACATCTGCGTGTCCTCCAGGTAGCTGCCCTCGAAGGCGTAGATCTGCCGCTCCAGGTTGGCCAGCGTCTCCTGCCGGGCACAGCGCAGCGCATGCAGCAGGCCCGGCCCCGCGCCCGCCCCGCGGCCCAGGCCCCGCCGCCGCCGCCGCCACGGCCCCGGCCCCGCCGCCGCTTCTTCCCCCGCCGGTCCCCCCGTTGCTCACCGCCAGCTCCTGCTTGCGCTTCACGAGCTCCGCCAGCTCCCGGCGGGTGTCGGGGATCTGCGGGGGGCCGCCGGCCTTGGCGTGCAGCGCGGCCATGGCGGCTGCGGCCTGCGCGGGCCGGGCGGGCGGGGAGGCGGCGGCGGCGGCTGCGCTGCCGGGAGGGGCCGCTGGGGGCAGCGCCGAGCCCCGGCCCCGCCTCCCCGCTCCGGTCCCCGCCTCCTCTCCCGGGCACCCCGGAGCGGGTCCCGGCCCCAACGAGCTGAGCCTGAAGCCGGGCTGCGTAGGGGGCAAAGGACCCCGAAAGGGAGGGAGGAGGCTCCCCGGCACCCAAATCATACTTTATATGGCTCCTTAACGTACTTAGTGCCCTCCATCCCATCACCGGTTCATCTGTTTTCAAGGAACATAAAGGCAAATAAGTATTAACACCTAAAAGTAATTAGGGCTAAATTTACAAATTCTTTATTTAAAAACCCCTAGAGTATAATATAAAGGAGATCCTCCGAGTCAAAACTCTACCTACCATGTGAAACCCTGCAGCAGTGCCCCATATTTACATCCCAAGTGCTCCAGCCTGCGCGTGTAACGTCTGCAACACGTGTGCACAGCACATGAGCACAGGTCAGAGAGCCCGCGACCACGGAACAAACATCCACTGGGAGCAGCGTGGAAAATGCATGTTTCTTACAGTGTGAAGCCATGGGGTGGGGGGAAGACATCCAAAGATGCATGTACTTGAGGGAGTGGAACTGTTCATCCTCTTCTTAAAGCCTTGTTTCACGGGGCAGGGGGGAGTATTTTAAACAAGTGATTTGTGTATTTTCTTTATCAAAAGAAAAATAGTGCAAACTCGGGTTGAAACAAGTCACCACATAGAAGGTCTTTGTGTAATGCGAACAAAACCAAGGAGAACTTATTTGTGGGCTGGGGTGGTGCCAGAAATAAAGGCTCCAGCCCCTAACACTTGATATCCAGCATATTCCCACCATGTGGGGGAAGATGACCCAGATCTCGGCTCCCAAACCACACGGGCAGCACCTGAAGCCCCAGGAAGACTGACTTCAACTTGCCTCGTGATTTTTGGGTGGTGAATTCCAGTGAAATACCCTCACAAGGCAAACCAAGTGCCCAGCGCATACCAACTTCTCCACCTCATTAGTAGCCAGCCAGGTAAATTCTCCTGTCCAGAATTCCTACCGGGCAAAGGAATTTGGCAAACTAGGGAACACGATGTGTTACAAAACTCATGGGGTTACTTTCTAACTAAGATTTCTGTTAAGGAGCATTTTCAAAGGGCTATGACAAAACAGTCAATAAAAATAATTTTAAATACACCAGCTGTGTTCCAAGTCATTTCCTGGCAGAAATGTCCTTCAACATCTGTGGAGTCCTCCCAGCATCAGAGCTTTCACATCCAGGTGCTCTTCTGCTTGTTGAGGAGGGAAAGCAAAGAAAAAAGAACAAAGAGAAGCTGTATTTCCCAATATGCAGAACTATCAGAAATGAATAATCAGGGAAGTCCCCCAGAATAAACTATGAGAACAGAACAGCAACGGAAAAAGGACTTTAAGGCAATAAGAGGCATCAGTGCTGTGATGCTCCAACGCATGTTCAACTGCAATTTCTCTCTCCTGCCCCTTCCCTTTCCCTCCTCATCTGTTAACTGTCAGACTCTTCCTCCTTCTCATCGTCATCATCATCGTCCTTTGTGTTGGCCTCGGATTTATCCGAGGATTCATGGAGAAGAACGTATTCCCTGCTGCTGAACCCGAACTTGAGCACATCCTTCTCCTTCAGTTCATAGTAGCGCTGCGGCTCAATCCGCTGGTTGTTCAGGAAAGTGCCATTCCCAGAGCCCAGGTCGATGATGTAGGGCCTCACTCTGCGGCCAACGGTACCATCGGCACGGGTGTACTCCACGAGCCTGGTGAAACAAAACAACACCCATTCGATGACAAGAGCCAGAAAGGAAGCACGCTCCGAAAGCAGACGGGTTCCCCAGTGCAGTTAAATACTCATCTGCACTCACAGAGATTGGAACAAGCCTGATGAAAGCAATGGGAAACTGTGAGACTGAGCAGATTCTGAGACTGCATCACCTCCTAAAACTTCTGGTGATATAATAAAGCAATTCCTACACCAGAACAGATGGCTGTGCCCTACGAGAGCATCTTTGTCTTCAGCAGCAGGCAACCCCCGCTGCTCCAGAGGAGACGGGCACACGTTGCTGTGAAAGGCCACATGGATAAAACCTCTTTCTCAAACACTTTTACTGCCAATTACACCTGCCAAATCATTCCAGTTAGGATACACATCAGCTCTGTCTAACCCTGCTGTGTCATCTGTCTTACTAAAAGGCTGCTTGTGGTTAAATAGGAGGAATTACAGATGGCTTTGATTACTGCTAGGATGATGTGCAGCAGCCACCATAAATCCCATCTCTAATGTACTTTACAGCAAACTCGTACCTCTCAACCGTGCACATCCAGGGGGGTTTGCTTGCTTTTCTTTCTCCTTCCTGAATAATCCTGTTTCATCAGCAGGTACTTACCGGTACTGAAACACAGCGTGCTGCTTCGAGCAGGAGGGGTGGTCGATGGGAATATCTGCGATCCTGCGGTGCCTGCCCAGCAGATAAGCACTCTGCCTGTGAATGTACATGACTGGCAGAAACTCATCGTTTTTGAAGGGATAAAGGCGCCAGCGCTTCTTCGGAATGCGAGCTTCAGGGGGCTCGCTGTACTTGATCACCACGCCTCGGAAAGTGTTGGTGTCCTCCAGCAGTGCCCCCGACAGTTCAAAGCTTGGCTTCTCTTTCTTCACAGCAGGTTTTTCTTTAGGTTTGTTATCAGACTGCCCCAGTTCTGGTTTCTGCTCAACGCCACTGCTTTGGTTGTTTTGTCGATGCTCTCGTCTCCTCTCGTTGTAAAACTCCCTCTCTGCTTGCTGCTCACGGATGTTGTGGACATCCCTCTCTCGCTCGTGGCCACGGACTCCAGGCCGCTCATTCAGGTTCTTCCTTCTGTCTGCGTGGTCTCTGTGTCTGTCTCTGTCACCGCTCCTGTCTCTCCTGTGCTCTGGTTCCGATGGGTATCTCTGCTTTCGTTCCTCGTTTCCTCGCCGGCAGTGATCATCTCGCTCCTGGAATGAAGAATCATTTACAGCAACGCAGGCGGAACTGGCACGAAACAGCAGCGAATCTACCTCAGCTTTTAAGCAAATCACAATCCTACACATGGAAAACACACACTTGGACGCTATCTGCGGATCTACCGCTACATGAGAGAAACTGCCTTCCGTGCCAAGCTATCTAGATTCCCACAGTTCACACCAAAGAGAGATCAAGCAACCGTGCAATGCATCATCTGCACTGGGCAAAGGACCTCGCAGAAGTGGCTTGCATGAGGACACAGGCTGGGTTCATGCACACATGTGAACTTCTGGCAAAGCCTGGGGTGGGCAGCAAGAGCTCTTAAACTGCCAGGACTCTCCTCCTGAGGCTGCACACTACAAGGACTCGTGGAACGTAACTGCCAGCTGATAAGTCATTTTGGAGCACGCTGCTCTAATGGAAGGTGTCCCTGTTTGGGGCAAGGGGTGGGAACTGGATGAGCTTTAAGGCCCCTTCCAACCCAAACCAGGCTGGGATGCTGTAATGCGTACCTCTCACGGCCGAGTCCCACAGGAACCGCTGTCGGACAGAGTCCCGAAGCGCGCAAGGCCCCCGCTAACACCTCCGCGGGCAGGACCGGGCCTCGGTGCTACCGACAACGCCAATTACCTGCTTCACCTTCACGGCAGCGTGGTGCGGGCTGCGGCTCCTCCTGCCGCGCGGGGACCGGCTCCTCCGCCCGGACTTGCTCTTCCTCTTGGGCGACCTTTAAAGCAACGAGCGCAAGAATGAGGAGCGGAGCCGGGCAGGGCGTCGCGCAAGGCCCTGAGCCACCGGGCCCGGCCCTACCTGCTGCTCCTGCCCTGGCGCGGCCCGGCCGGGCCCCGCCGCTCCTCGGCCGGCGGAGATTGGCTGCCCCGCGCCGAGCGGGAGGCGGAGCGCCGGGGGCTCCGCTTCTCGGCCTTCACCGCCACGTCCCGGCGCCTCCGCTCCCGCCGCCGCTCGCCCTCCGCCTCCATGGCGCCGCCGGCAGCCACACAGCGAAGCGCGCCCCGCTTCCGGTGCTCGGAAGCACTTCCGCCTCGCGCCGCACCGCCCTCAGGCACTTCTGCGCCTGCGCACAACCGCGTTCAACCGCGCAGGCGCCCCTCGCGCAGCGCCGTTGCCATAGCGACAGCTGCATCCGAGGCCGCCATGATGCCGCCGCCGGACTCGCTGCTGCGGTACAACCCGCCGCTGCTCGTCCGCCGCCGCACGGAGAAGCGCTCCCCCGGGGTGAGCGGGACCGGGCCGAGCGAGAGCCCCGCCCCGCCCCGCCCTTGCCTACCACGCTCTGCTTTCTCCGCAGGCCCCCCCGCTGCAGGCGACACCCTCGGCGCCGCCCGCCCCGACGGGGCCCGTCCCGCTGCCCAGCACGGCCGCCGAGGCCGGGAAGCAGACGCGGGAGCTCCTCAACGCCATCCTGCCGCCGCGGTGAGCGGAGCAGAGCGGAGCCGGGCTCCCCCCCCCCCCCCCAGTGCCTGGCAGTGCCCGGCGTGGCCGGTAATAGCCCGTGCTTCTCCTGGCAGGGAATGGACGGAGGACAACACGCTGTGGGTGCAGGAGGTGTCCAGCACGCCCAGCACCCGCCTGGACGTCGTTCACCTGCAGGAGCAGCTGGACCTGCGGCTGCAGCAGAGGCAGGCACGGGAGACGGGCATCTGCCCCGTGCGCAGGGAGCTCTACTCCCAGTGCTTCGGTCAGTGCCCCCCCTGCAGCTCCCACAGCCGCTATGCTCCTCCTCCAAGGAGGCTTAACACAGCCCATAGGGTAGGGACCACCAGGCAGGGCACACTGCCCTTGCCTTCCTTGTCAGGGATCAGCACTTCAACGCTTGCTGAAGCTGTCAGCTTCTCTACAGACCGTATTACTTGAAAGACATGTTGTAAAGCAGTAAAAATTGCAAACAACCATAATAAATCCCTTAGTTGTACTTAACCCAATAGTTTTAAATAACTTGAAAGGCTGTGTAACTGTTAAAGACTTACACCCTCTGCTGACATGGTGCTGAGATTGAGCAGGACTCTTCTGGAGGCTCTTGGCTCTTCTGTAAGCTTCCCCTGCAAGAAATCATTACAGTGTTTTAGGCACTTGCTTTTACAGCTCCAGTGGATCACTATCACTGTTGTGACCACAGGTTCTATATCACCACTCTGCTTTTACATGCCAGCATACAAAGGAAAGTAACTTTACTGTCTGTACTAAACCCATGCTGCTTTTGTGGTGCAGAGAATGGGTGAAAGACAACAAAGCTCGGGGCCCCGTGTGAATCCAGGATTCCCAGATAAATGACTAACTAGACTGTGGTACCCTTGCTTTAAAGATGAACTGATCCGAGAAGTCACGATCAACTGTGCCGAGCGAGGACTGCTCCTGCTTCGGGTCAGGGATGAAATCCAGATGACCATCGCTGCTTACCAGACGCTGTACGAGAGCAGCGTTGCGTTTGGCATGCGGAAGGCACTGCAAGCTGAGCACGGCAAATCTGACATGATAAAAAGAGTAAGCTGGGCTGTGAGTTTGCTGTCGCGTGGTACAGCAGAGGGATAGTACGTGTAAAGCTTTATATGAAACCAGTTATTTCTATTGCCACTGGATGGCAGTAAAGATCATCAGAATACTTGTTCGCTTTCCTAGGGCTTAATTGCATTGAGTAAATGATGTGCTATTATGTCTGGGACGTGATAAAGACTGTACAATGTAGAGCTTTGTCCCATCTTAACTGAATATTGATTATTAATCAACTAAACTTGAGGGATCTATACTCTTCTTCAAGATTGCAGAGCTAGAAGAGGAAAAGCGGGAGCTGGAAGCACAAGTGAGTGACCAGAAAGCTAAATGTGAAGCTATTGAAAAACGGGAAAATGAAAGGAGGCAGATAGAAGAAAAGAAACACACTGAAGAGGTGCAGGTCCTGAAAAGAACCAATCAGCAGCTGAAGGTTAGTTAAAAACAAAAAGACCATTTCAAGTAGCAATGGTAAAACTTCACAGAAAGACACAGAAATAACTTTATCCTTATGGGTTCAGAAGTGTTACATTTATGGAGGTGTTTGCATTAATGTTCTGCTTCCTTTAAATTCTCACTGAAATGGGAAAAATAGTGCTTTCGCATTCTCTGCTTCCTTGCTCACTCAGTAACCGGTCACTATCAGTAAACCTGATGATGCAAACAGCAGGTGAAAATACCCAAATTCTACTCATGCACAGACGTTTGCCAGGGAGAGGGCAGAATTTGTTCAGAAAATGATGAACTGTTACAGTCAGATGCTTCAAGCTTGACCAATACTCCAGGAATCTGCTCCTGCACAACAAGACTGTGAGGTTACAATGGCAGCACCACCCCTTCCCAGCTACAAATCAGAAAATCTAGTGCAGGCAAGTTGAGATGTTTTGTTCCTTTGCTGCTGGCCATTACAGTTGATTCCCTGATAACAAGCTGCACCATTTAACATTAAATATTGCATAATAGGAACAATTGTGTACTTACGCAGCAGGGACTAAATAATTACAGGAGCAATTTTGTGCATGCTGCTTTGGTGAAAACAGCTTCTGCTCGTTACTTTGCTTTTGAAAGGAAAAAATCCCAGCGAGTAAAGATAAAATGTTACCCTAAACGTTAAATGTTTCTGGATACAGCTAAAGAACGATTAGAGCGGAGACTGAGATGAGCTCTTAGACACAAGTTCTCTCCTGTGAGGGTGCTGAGGCGCTGGCACAGGGTGCCCAGAGAAGCTGTGGCTGCCCCATCCCTGGCAGTGTTCAAGGCCAGGCTGGACTGGGCTTGGAGCAAGCTGCTCTACTGGAAGGTGTCCCTGCCCGTGGCAGGGGGTTGGAACTGGAGGAGCTCTGAGGTCCTTTCCAACACAAACCAGTCTGGGGTTCTTTTTCCTTTACACTGAGCTGCTCTCCTTATCTGTACCCTACAGTTTCTCCTTTCTAAACCACTGACTCCTTCAAGCCATCTTGAAATGTTCTAGGGTGGAAGATGGAGTAACTCAGATCAAATATGCATTGCCACAGAACCCATGTTTCCTGAAGTACTCCAACAGCCGTGAATACACTGCTGTCATTTCTTTTTCATGGCAGCTCTGGAAGAGGACAACCCAGGAGTCCTGAATGCTTCACACACAACATGCTCCCTGAGCACGAGTAGCTCTCCGATAAATCTACTAATTGGGCGTCAAGTTGTCTCTGTAACTGCAAAACTCGCTGTTCCCAGATACTTTTGTTCCAGGGTTTGTGTTCCAAATACTAGAGAGCCAAATATTTAATTTAGCTAACATAGTCCAGCCTGAAATCAGAGAATTCGGACCACTGTTTCAACAGCTTTTATTTAATTTCCTCTTCAGTGCTTTACATTATTAAACGGCTCTTTCATTGTACGGAACCAATGCCAGCTCTTTTCTTCTCAGAATGCAACAAGTGTGTATGCCAAGAGCAAAAAGCTAATTTATAAAATGTGTAGTAAGGAATGGGATAGCTCAGGGAAAAAACAATCCCAGCCTGCTTTGCTTAAAGTATTGCAGCATCCCTCAGCTCCTTGCTTTGAATATCAAACAGATAATTTATTACTTTACAGCAACGTGGGTTTATTTTTTACGTTGAATCTAATTTGACTTACTGTCTCGTTTGTTTTTCAGGCACAACTTGAAAGCATCATTGCACCAAATAAGTAGATTTTGTTCTTATCCTCCAGGCAGCATTCAGAAGAGCTGTCAGAGCAAGAAGTTTGCAATTAGTAACAAAGAGTTGTCTTCGTAAAACAAGCTTGAATTTTCACTTACCGGTAACTGAAGGCAGCACAATTGTGTTCTGTCCTTCTTTGTCTCTTGAAGAGTTGAATTTCAAGGGCTTCATTAATTACTGCACCCTTTTTCAATGCTGTCTCAGCATTCAGCTCTTTGAACAGCAAGCATGGCTGGGACTTGCCTGTTGGTAACATGCTACATGACCTTCAAAGCAATAAACATTTCTACATGCAAGCATCTCTGTAACATTATTACTTTGAAAATGTCATATAAAGTACGGGAAACCATATACAAAGCATCTACAATAAATCTAAGTCCCATTCACCACGAATCAGTCAGGTCATTCTTGGGCAGGGTGTTTGAGGGGTTGTTTCCTTGAGTAGGTGCATGTTGGTGTTAATTGTACATCAAAATCCCCTGCCAGTACCATTAGCAGTAACTAGGATGAGAAATACATGGTTATTTCTAATGAAACAAAGGGGTACATAACCATTCCAGGCACTGCTTCTCAATGGAAGCAAACGCAATCTTCACTCGAGGTACCTGTGTAACTAACTGGTTATACCCAGCAAACAGTCATGGGAAAGAGAACTTACTGTAATTACATGAAAAACCTCCATAAATCTGAATTTTTCCAGAAAAATCAAACAAACAAGACCAGCCACCACCACTAAATACCACTTCAGGAGCTGTTTTGCCAATGCAGTGTTTACTGGCCTCAGACGGGGATGTGGAAATACCAGGATCTCCAACTGCATAAAGGACTTTCAGATGATGCAGAAACAAAGAGCGAGATGCTACTCCTGGGAACGAGGCAGACAACTCAAACTGGGCTTTGAATGGGAAGTACAAGTTTCATATTAAAAAAAGCCACTGCATACTAGAGCTGTTTTATGTAAAATTTAATAGAATAAGCAATTATTGCTTATGTTTGGGTTTTTGGGGCTTTGATCTCTGTCCCTCCAAGCCAGTTTTTTTCTTGTTCTTATTCTTATTTTTCACGTTGTGAGTTTCATAATACCGGACTCCGACTTTCTTGGAGCGCTGCTGCCTCTCAGCTCGTCTTCTCTGCAAATACACACAAACCACATTAGCAAATACATACACACAAACCACATTAGCAAATCCACAGTATCCATAGCCTGGATTAGTTTGCAGCTTTCAAATGCCATTCACTTTGCGTTCCACATAACTTAAATAGAATCAATTCAAAGGAAACATTACTGATGTGAACATATGGACCTCTACATGGAACCTACCCATGCTCTTAAACAAAGGAAGGTAAC